TTGTCTTGTCTGTGGCTGATTTGGTCATGACCCAGGCAACCTAAAACTGCCCCTCCTCCACTCCATTGTCCTAGAGGTTTGCCTACTATTGCTTTGATAATTTCTTCCCTGTTTTCTTCAGTATTTCCACCGATGTTACCTGTTTATTTAAACATTCCCTATGGCTTTCTTGTTCTTTTCACTTTCAGTGATCCCTTCGAGCTATTGCAGCCTTTCCTATGATTCCACCCCCCCCCTCCCTTTTTTTTATGGGAAAAACTCAGTGATCTTGGTCTCTGACCTAGATCTCTGCCCTGAGCTACAAAACCATAAAGCCATCATCAGAATGTCTCCATGTGAATGTTGTCATATCCTATGCATCTCAAATCAGCATCTCCAAGGTAGAACTCATCTGCTCTTCCTTTTCTCTACTAACAGAAATGCCTATTTCTTTTCCTTAAATCTGCCTTTATTGATGGTTTTATCAGGCATATCAGATGAAAATTTTGGAGCCCTCTTAAACTTCATCCTCTCCCTCATACATTTTATCCTTGTGCTTGATAAATCCTACTACCACAGTCAATCTCGTTTTGCCATGGCAGTGTCCTGCATTCGCCCTTGTTACATCATTTCTGGAGCCCCAGTGACCCCTCTGTTGCACTGGCTTCCCATTTTCTCAACTCTTCCTTCCCTAAGCCTATTTACCCACTGCCTCTGAAGTCATCATACTGAAACACAGCTCTAATCATGACATTCAAGTGTCTGTCCCTGACACTCTAGTGAAGCTGTTCCAGATAAAAGTGCCAGTGAAATGTAAAAGACACCTTTCATTCTTAGGCCTCTCTGTGACATGTGACACTGTTAATGTCTTCCATCTTGGAAAGTTACTGTCTTCCCTCACTCTATACTTTATTGGATTTCCTCCTATTTCTCTGGTCTCTCTTTGTCAGTCTCTAGTATGGCTATTTCTCCCTCTGATTAAACTTTAATACTATTATGTCAGGAGGCACCATCATGAGCTCTCTTCTCTTCTCCTGAAGCAGTCCTTAATACCTCTGGGAGAGCCCATCCACACCCATGACTAGCTATGCTTGGGTATCTCTGACTCCCACAACTATCTATTTCTCACCTATATGTACTCCTGACTCCTGGACCTGTCCAACTGCTTAAACAATTTCTCCATGTGGATGGTCACAGGCACGTCAAAGACTACTAGTCTCAACTGAACCTGTTCCTCCTATCTTCCCTATCTAAGGGAACAAGGACACTACCATCCACCCAGTTAGTTACCTATGTCAGAAACTGGGAGGCAATCCACAGTCAATTTCACCCCTTCCTTTCCCCTGAGTCACTGTCTGCAATCTATCAATTTCTGCAAAATTAATTTCTCTAAAATCTTTTATAACATTCCATCAATAATGTGACTTCATTTCTGCAGGTTCTATTTTTTTCTCACCTAGATTTCTATGATAAATCCTACCTAGTTTTCTGCCTCCATCTTTTCTATTCTCCCTTCACAATATTTTAAGGGTGATATTTCTAAAATGTAGGTTTCATCAGTTCAGTCTCTTATGAACATCCCATAAGAGCTTTATATCTCTTGTATGATATGGTCAGGAGTTTTAGTGGGTAATATGACATATAATTCATATTCTAGAAATTTACCTCTAAAAGCAATCAAACATGTCTAAGATGTTTGTAAAACAATGTTCAATGTGGCACTATTCACAATAGCAAACACTGACTACAGAAAAAGATGAACAGTAGAGGATTGGTTAAATTATAATATCATATATAATGAGCAACTTAAAATTATGTTACAGAAGACTATATAATGATATGGAAATGCATAGTATATTGTCAAGTGAATTAAAATTATCCCATAACATTTTTTGTAAATTAGTCATCATTAATATCTATTATAGCCATAAAAAGACTATCAGGATATATACACAAGGTCTTTCCTTGTATATCAAAGATGTATATCCTCCATAATTCTGACTGTGGTTCTCAAGTTTTCTAGAGTGAACATGCCACATTTTAAACTCAAAATAAAAGAGCACATAGTTGCTATTTTATAAAAGACTAAACTCAGTTGTCAAATTTCTTCAAGACATTTTCTCTAACCCAAAAAACATCTTGGAATATCTCTCACCATGGTCATCCCTCTTCTCACCACAGTTCTCCAGCCTAGGTTAGGCATCTGTGTCTTGTGCAACCACTGTTTTGTTTATCACAAGGCATTATCAACTTTTTTATACGTTTTTTCACTTCCTCTGTAATAGGAGCTCCTCCATCCCTATATCCCCTGCACTAAGCAAAGCACAGGTAGAATAAATGTTTACTGAATAAGTAAATGAATATTGCCACTCACCTCACAGTGACTCACACTGATTCCTCAATGACTTCAGAATAAGTGCACACTCCTTAAGCTGTTATTTCAAAATCCTTCATAATTACAGACAAGCTTTTTTTTCATTCATATTTTTGGCCCCATTTCCTAAATTCTACATGTTCAAGTACATCTATCTATGGGGAGAGATGGTGTCTTTCTTGTTCATATTATATCCCACACTTTAGCTCACACACAGATGTTAAGAAATTATTTGTTGAGTTAATGATTGGATAAATTAACTTTACCAAATATATCATGTACTTTTCAATTTCCCATATTTTCTAGAAAGCTACTCCCTTCATTTTTTGCCTCTCTAACTTCCTTTCTCTTGTCTCCAAGGCTCAATAAAGTTTGATCACGTATAGGGATCATTTTCCAACCTTGCTATAGAAATTAAATCCCCCCAGTACAAATATAGTATTTACTTGACATTTCCCATTACTGAATTATGCACTGGCATGCTGGGTGTACATTCCTTGGGTGTTTTGGGAAGTCACTCCACTCTTCTCTTGAGAGACTCATATATAAGTTTTCCAACTTATTTTTTTCTGGTCTCCAATGATTACAATTCAAGCAAATATTTATGGAGGCTTCTTTTTAATCCCATTACACTGAGCATCATATCTTCTAAGGAGTGGGAATTAACCAACAGTGATACCAGGAATGGCATGAGTGATTGATGGATTAGCACTTCCCTCTCTTTAAGTTTTTATGAGAACATATCTCCTCTATTGTACCAGGATTCCCATGAGGGCCATGCCTCAGTCACTCTTTAACCCCAAGTCCAGTGGAAGAACATTTTAGGATTGTTCAAAGTAATTGTTAAATTAATAAATGACATTTCCTAGAGCGAGTAGACCATAAAGGTATTCAACAGCAAAACCAATACTGCCCTCTCAAACAATAAACTGTATTTATCAAGTGCTTTTGAAACTTTCTTTCTCCTTTGTTTCCATTCTAATTCTACCCTGGACTTGCTTATATAGCTCATCAGAGAATTTTCATTTAAATATATCACATGCAAAATGTTGCACACTCATCACAGATACTGGTTGTTGTCACTAAATACCATAGAGGTTAATTAGTTTTAATGGACAGTTAGGCATTTGAGTGGTTTTTCAAGAAAAGGTTTTCCAAAAAGTCAATAATGACATGCTTTAATGTTTAAAATAAATAAAACCTTAAATTGTCTTTTGTACTCCAAATTAGCTAGTACAGTTTAAAATAAGATGGTGTTTCACTGTCTTAATAGTCTTTATTATCTTGGGGGCACAGACACAAAAATAATCTGTTTATAAATAAGCTACAGGCAATGTGAGAAAGCTGCAATAAGTAATACTTTTGGCTGTATGTAAAGTTTTCAAGTAAGTTGTAACTAATAATTATGACTTCATAATTGCTATATCTGTCAGTATCCATGAAATCATATTAAAAATAACTGTTATGAATTAGAGGTAATCACATAATTAAATTAAGGACGGTATAAAAAGGATCACCACAAAGGTCAAGACAACTTTAAGAATATATCAGAAATACATCATAATCACTATTAATTATTGTTATGTAAAAACTAGGCATAAACATAGGTGATCCAATATCAATCCTGAAGTTAGATCCACTGAAAATAGACTTGAACATTATTTCAGGAGTCAGTGACACCTTAATTCTCTGTCTTCTTATTAAAAATTGTAGTGAAAACATATATAATACAAAATTTACCATCGTAACCATTTATAAGTGTACAGTCCAATAGTGTTAGGTATATTTGTGATGCTGTGTGACCAATCTCCAGAATGTCTTCAAATTGTGAAACTGAAACTCTACACCATTAAACATTTCCTATTTTCTCCCTCCCCCTAACTCACTGGCAACCACCATTCTACTCTGTGTTTTTATGAATTTACTAGTCTAGATATTTCACATAGTTAACTCATACAATATTTTTGTCTCTTTAATCTGTTTCTGAAGTTCAATTGAAACTTAATTAGGAAGAAGCCAAGTTCATCCTCTATCAGTTATTGTCTAATCATCTATTTAGTACAATGCACTATGCTAATTTCACTCTAGTAACCCAGTGAAGTAGGTTTTATGCCAACTTTACAAATGAGGAAATTGAGTTTCAACAAGGTGAAACATCTTGTCAAAGGTCACATATTTAAATCAGAGGGGCTACTGAATCCAACTTCACCTGACTTCAATGCCCACATTCTCTTCAACACAACTGGCTGTTTTTTGAAATAGTTACAATTTTTAGAGGTTTTCAACCATTTACATATTTGAAGCAAAGCAAAGTGGGTTTTTTTTACATTTGATTTTGGATGTTGCATGTCTCCCTCCTCTTTTTCTTTCTTTCTTTCTTTTTTTTATTATTAGTTAAGGTATTACAAATGTGTCCTCATCCCCCTCTTTTTATAAATTATTTTATTTTATATCATGTCTCAAGGTATCCTATTCCATGTGTCAAAGTTTATTCTAAATCATGTCCCACAAATTCACAAAATATAAAGCTCTGCTTGGAAAGGAAGAAGCATTTAGTTTCTTCAGTTGTTCTGGAAATGACACAATTTCCTATGTGTATTATATATCAGTAGGGAAAAGAATATTAAATTTTGAAAACAACACTTACAGTTGTGGAAATGAACCCAAGCCTCTTCCGTTCAGGAACATCATGTTAGTGAATGAAAGTCACTCTGCGTAAACCAAGGGCTCTCTTCAAACATGTCTTGCTCTGCGTGTGGCACCTGAACTGCAGCTTACAGAGCCACCTGGGACTAGAAGTCCTCCCAGTGTAGTTCCAGGCTGCCCAACCGGAAATCCTAAAAGGCAGAAGACTACAACACCCACAATTCATAATTCCTCACCTGAAACCAGGATGAGAGGGTGGATGGCTACAGTTTCACTTTAGGAAGAAAGAATAAGTAGATGGAAAAGCAAAGCACTAAGTATGTAGATGGGAAAGCAAAGCAGTAAGTAATCAGGTGGGTATGTCTAAGAACAATTTATAAATATGAACCTATTTCTTAAAAGGAAGCAGAAGTAGTTTGATGTTTGCCAAGAAGTACGAAGGCACCATCAGTGTTGGCAAGAACTAAAAAGTCTTCATGCCAACAAAACCTCATGCTGCCGTGTAACCGGCCCCACCAGATTCTCTGTCAGTGATTCAGAGCTGAGGATGCCTCCCAGCCGATGGGCAGGTGAATGAAGACTTCCCAGGGAGGACTAAAAGCCTCTGCATCAGCACTATGACTGTCACTCAGAGAAGCTACAGGCATAATGAAGACCTTCATCCTCCAAAATACCCAAGATTTTTTAAAATGTGCTTTAAAAAATGTGAGCAAAATAGAACCCTTGTTGATATTCCCTTCCATTTCCCTTTCCATTTCCTCATATGATGTTTTCCTTCTGTATGATTCAGCATTATTTCTGATTGCTCAAAGTTCAGGAACAAGAAATTTGGAGGGGAAAAAGAAAAAACAAATTTTAAAACTTGAGTAAAATGAAAGTGGCAACAATTGTTTCTCTTCTTTGCAACATCAGGAACATAGAGTACTAAAAAGAAACAAACGAAAACTAAGAAAAGGGTTTTCATACAGGATCTGTCTCTAGCCTTTACTTTCTGTTGGACACAGCCCAGAAAAATCGATACAAACAAGGTATTGGCTTAGTTGGGCCCAAAAATGTAATGGACGGCTTCAGCTAAAATACCACACAGAATAATGGCACAGGATAAATTTCTTCCCCTTTTGTGCACTTTCTCTCCTTCCTCTCTTCATGCCACCTCTCTACTGGGGCTCCCTGCTGCCCAATCTACGTGATCCACCCAGAGCCCTGCTAACATTTCCCCTTGGATCATCCTGCAAGCCAAACTGAACCGTTCTTTTTCCCTTTGTCACAGGTCCTTCAATCTCCTGACCAGACCCCAATATTCCCGTATGTCACGGATATTCCTTTAAAAACAAATGGTTTTCTATTTCTACAAACCTGCAAATTTTGCTCTCTGTGCTGTTTCTTCTCCCTGGGCTACTTTTTGCCCACCTTTAAATGTTCAGATCTTTTCTTTCCTTCAAAGCCTAATGAAAAAAGCACTCTTCTCTAAGAAGCCCTCCCCAGTCTGCCCTAATCTGAATTATTCTCTCCCTCTTAATAAATTCCATAATATTTTATCTAGTCCTCTCCTAACAGATGTTATACTTTGTTTCACTGTTGTGTGTGTATGTGTGTACACACGGGCAATGCTACTGCCCTGTTTGAAGGTAAGCCCTTACATTATTCCCACCTTACTAACTCAGTAATTTACATGTAGCTGTTTCTGATAATCAATGAATGAAATAACTGAGGTATTGGCTCTAAACTGGATTTTAGTACCTAATGCCATCTTGATCTCTCTCAGAAAACATTTTTGCTTTGAAAGCTCTATATATACTATTTTCAAATTCCTCTGTGGAGTAGTCTGGTGTGGCCTCTGCAACCATATTTGCCTAAAGGTAAGGTTTTAAATCCGAGTCCCTGAAATGAAGGCTCCATGGCAGTACTCATTGCTTCCCCAGCTCTGCCTCGTGCTGTGTACTTGGCTTTCTAACAGCTTCCCAGTGATCTGCCCCCAGTACCATGACTGCATCTTGGAGAGCTAGCCTTGCCTCCATCTATGAGTTTCTGATCATCAGCTCCAGCATTTCTGGTTTCCTTCCCCTTTAATCTAATATCCTAGCTCAGATGTGGAAACTCTGACCTTTGTACTTCTTTCAATAGTTCTTAATCACCGATCTCTCCCACCCAGGGAAGGGAATTCTCTCGGCAGTGAGTTCCTCACACCTCTGCTTCTACAGGATTCTCCTGGTCCCCACACACTCAGCTGCATCTTCTAGCTGTCAGCCACTTGGGAAGAAGTGAACCTTCTAGATACTGCTGACACACACTGAGATTTCTATGGGCCATCAGCCTCGAAGACAGGCAGGAGTAGATGACTGTTGTCTGGACAGTCCTCCCAATTCTTCTCTGTTATATCATAAGGAATGCTAGCCCCATAGCCTGCCTGTGTGAGTATAATGTAAGATATCTGAAACTGGGTCTGGGATTCATCCTCCACCCATAGTTTAGGGTTGCTTCCTTAAGAAAATCTCTTCTTGGAGAAACTAAGATGGCGGCATAGGTAAACACCGGGAAATTGTCGCCTCACACAACAATTGAAAATTACCGCAAAGGACAGAGCAAACATCATCCAGAACAACAAGAAGGCTGGCTGAGTGTAAATTCTACAACTAGAAGGAAAGAAAAGCACACTGAGAGCCAGAGTTGCTGCAGAGGTGAAGTGCAGAGGTACAAGTGCAGAGGTACAGCCGGCTCGCGTGCGCGCGAGTAAAGGGGGTGGCACCTGAGGACGGGGCTGTCTTTTTGAATCACAAGCTCCCGACTGCTCTGAACTCCGGTTCCGGAAAGTCTCTGGGGACCCAGGACTCATACGGGGAGAAGCGGGTCTGTCCGGCAGCGGGCGAACTTGAAGGCGGCTTTCCCTCAGAGGTGCTTGCAGCAATTAGCGGGTCACTGAGACCCACGACTCCGGGCGGAGAATCAGCCATAGCTCCTTGATCCGCCCTTTGATTCCCTGAGACCCCGCCCCACCCAGGCTGCGGCAGAGGCTTTTGCATGTGAATGTACCTAACTGCAGCCGAGCCAGGCAGACCCGGAACTTCCAAGAGAAGGCCCAAGGCCCCGCAGCGGCTTGCATTGCTTCACAGCTGAGCCTCTTCATGGCTCCTGCTGTGTGGCCTCAGGCAGAGGCTGAATTAGCACCTCCTTAGATCCAGGAGCCACTGTACCCAGTGGTCAGAGGGGGACCATCCAGACTGCAACTCCTCAGACCCATAAGGGACACACTCAGGGAGCAGACTCAGTGAGCACCAAAGCCCCACTGAAGCAAGTCTTGCCCCAGAAGGGTATCTTCAGCACAGAAGTTCTCCCACTTTAGACACAGCTGATTCTCACAGCCAATTGGCCTGGAGGTCAATTCCTCCCAGTGATTCTACAACAACCAAGGCACCAAGAGTGCACCAAGAGTGTCCACCCCAGGTAACTGGGGAGGCTGAGCTACTGGGCCCTACAGGACACCTGGCGCGCAGGGCCACAGGGAAGCCGCCAAAATGCAGAGACAAAGAAACAGGTCACAAATGGCAGAAATGGAGGAAAGCCAACGATTGGATATAGAGTTCAAGGCCACGTTTATAAGGTTTTTCAAGAATTTTATGGAAACCGCCGATAAATTTAATGAATCCCTCAATAAGTATAGTGAGACCATGGAGGACATGAAAAAGGACCAACTAGAAATTAAGCATACACTGACTGAAATAAAGAATAATTTACAGAGATCCAGCAGCAGACAAGAGGATCCCAAGAATCAAGTCAAAGATTTGAAATACAAAGAAACAAAAAATACCCAACCGAAAAAGAAAAAAGAAAAGAGATTCCAAAAATATGAAGATAGTGTAAGGAACCTCTGGGACAACTTCAAGCGTACCAACATCAGAATTATAGGGGTACCAGAAGGAGAGAGAGGGCAAGATATTGAAAACCTTTTTGAAGAAATAATGACAGAAAACTTCCCCTACCTGGTGAAAGAAATGGACTTACAAGTCCAGGAAGCACAGAGAACCCCAAACAAAAGGAATCCAAAGAGGACCACACCAAGACACATCATAATTAAAATGCCAAGAGCAAAAGATAAAGAGAGAATCTTAAAAGCAGCAAGAGAAAGACAGTCAGTTACCTACAAGGGAGTACCCATACGACTGTCAGCTGATTTCTCAACAGAAACCATGCAGGCCAGAAGAGAGTGGCAAGAAATATTCAAAGTGATGAATAGCAAGAACCTGCAACCAAGATTACTTTATCCAGCAAAGCTATCATTCAGATTAGAAGGTCAGATAAAGAGCTTCACGGATAAGAAAAAGCTAAAGGAGTTCATCACCACCAAACCAGCATTATATGAAATGCTGAAAGGTATTCTTTAAGAAGAGGAAGAAGAAAAAGGAACTCTTACCATTTGCCACAGCATGGATGGAACTGGAGAGCGGATAAATACCACATGATCTCACTCATTTGTGGAATATAATGAACAACATAAACTGATGAACAAGGACTGATCCAGAGACGGAGAGGCATTGATTGGACTGTCGGGACTTGGAGGGAAGGTAGGGGAGGGTGGGGGTAAGGGGGAAAGATCAACCAAAGGACTTATATACAAGCATATAGGCCTAATCAATGGACATGGACAACGGGGGGGTGAGGGCATGAGCGGGGGGGGAGGGGTAGAGGGTAATGTGGGGACAAGGACACATATGTAATATCTTAATCAATAAAAAATATATTACGAAAATCTCTTCTTTAAATCCTTTACCATTTCCTTACCTTGTACATGTTTCTGATACTGATTTATACAACTGTCAGACTGGGTTGATATACTTTGTTCATTTCTGCCCTAAAATCATGATCATTTGCAGCCATGAGATTTATTGTACCTAAATAATATGGGCATCTGCTATTTCTTGACAGATAGAAAAGGGTGTGGAAAGCTAGCCCCTCCTCCAGTGTGTGAGCTCTAAGGGGGGTTCAGTAGAAACGCACTGTAGGTTCTGAGAATGAAATACTATATCGGGAGCAGGCCTCAGCATTCAGCCACGCAGACTACACCATTGTATTCTCTGCCCAGTTGGGAGAGCTTATCAAGGACTAATCCCATCCGTCAGTGTGGGAATGTGAAGGTGCCAAGAGGTCCAGTGAACCTTC